TTATTTTAATCTATAAGGTTTGTATTGCTTTCTTAAATTAGTTAAGATTAATGTTTCCAATTTATTTTATTCACTTAGTTTTCAATATTCATCTTGATTGATCTTGCTCAGTCACATTAATTAATTTTTAATCTCTATTACTATTCAGTTGCTTGTTTCAATGAATGATAAGAATTTTACTGGACTTTTTATTCATATGATTATCTGATCATTAATTCTTTATTTCTCTTTCGATACTAGAATCATTATCGCTCTATCATTTCTTTGGCAAAAGCAACCTTGTTTCCAAAGAGGTCTTCTTATGTAGACAATCAAAGATGGACATGAAAATACTCTACTAATGATTTCTAACAATATGTAATGAGAGGAGAAACAGTAGGTAATGTAGTAGGCAACCTGGATTTGGAGCGATTTCAATGACTTAAATGAAAGATGTCATATATTTATTAGATGTTCTAAGTCATTATTTATCAGAACATGATAATCGAGCCCATAAAACCTTTGATCCAGCTTAAGAACAGCTAAAAATAAAAGTAATTCCATAACCAGATTAAGACCTCGAGCTTAGACAAATTTTACAGAAGATAATATTTGCCTTTAGGATTTTTGGATTCAAAGAAATCCCTTAATTTAGATCCATTATTTATTGCTTATTAATTATTAGAGTTTGACCCAATTCCACCCATTATTTCTATCAAGGACAAATTCTTCTTTAAAAGCAAAAAAGCCATTGTAAATAAAGGAGAAAATTTTCAAACTGTAAAACAAAGATTGGGTAGCTGGAAGGGTTAAAATATATAAGCCCAATTCTTGTTTATTGAAGTTGTGTCTTAAAGTAAATGAGATGATTATTAAATATTATTAACATTAAAATTAGAGAAACTAAAAGATTGGTTAGATGAAAGAAGATATGTTGTTAAATTTGGTAGAGTTAGATTAGGCAAGATTTTATAGATTCAAATAGTTTTTAATGAATGATGGTTAGATAACAATAAAATGGGATTTAGCAGTTAATGAACACTTTAGATTTTTAGATTAAAATACTTTCCTAAGATTACAGCTACATTCGATTTTGAATAAAATATGTTGGACTTAAGTAGAATCATTTTAAAATGTAAATCTTATTGAATCCATTTGAACTAATGGAAGACCTAAGGATGTGAAGCTTTATCTTTTATTCAAAGATAGGATCATCTTAATACTAAGGAATCTAAACCTTTTAGATTAATATTCAAATCTAATAGAAAATATCAACATAATGTGACACTAAATAAATTAATAAGAAAACTTAATCAGAATTGGATGATTCAGTATAAATAATTTTTGATTAATTTATTCCTATTTATATTCTAATTATTTTAAATTTAGACTATATAAAAATAAGTAAATA